TTCTGAAAATCGAGGAAGCATCTTTTAGAATAAAATATTGGGAGCTCTCCTTATGATTATGGGTTTTTTGAACAGTGAATTGGAAATCAGAAAAAGCAACCCAGATGAGGACTCCAGATATCATAAAAGCGTGGAAGCAAGAAGGGCAAATTAAATGGTAAAAAAAAAATTAAACTTTTTTTAGTATTCTAAAACTAAGGTAGATTTCTGGTTCATCCATACTCAAACCCTACATGGAAAAGAAAAATAAAGGATGCCAGAAAGAATTACTGCTATCATCCTATAGCTTCTAACTCTGGGAAGTTAAGTATCTCCCTCAAAGTCACAGGGACAGCCTGAAGACTGTTGGAAGAAGAGAACTCAGACTGGCCCTTCACTGCTATAGCCACAAGCCTCAGTCCTCTTCCAAGAAGGCAGTTCTGAATATTTAAAAATCTAGAAGTTCTCTCTCAACCTATTCAATATTTGCTCTACTGACAAAATGATGCCAAGCAGTTACCTTTCTATGCCACAAGAAGGAAGGCCATGATTTCATGTGTTGGATTCCTGTGCTGGCCTTTCATCTTATGAGCAGACACCCATTCTGACCAAAATGATCTCATCTTCATTCAGTTAGGATGCAAAGAATAGCAGCATTCCCATATCCAGCTGACATGATGTTTCAGTCTGTTATTATTAACACCTTTGCTGGAAGGGACACAGCACCCTTCCTCTCTAATTTGCAGGTCAGGAACATTCCACTTTGACTGTCTCCTGGATTGCTGTATAACTGTAATAATGTCAATCAGACAGCTCTCTTTTTTTTTTTTTTTCCACTTCTTACTCAAAATTAGACGATTAAAAATATGTAGATAGAATAAAGCAATCTTTAAGGTTTCAGGGTTTATATTACTGTTTGTAAGGGATGTAAAATTATGGAGATACTATCATAGAATAAAAAAAAATATATTTGTAAATGTTGCAAGACAAACTGTGTTTGTAACCAATGTTTCCAATTTTTTCTTGTACTCATAACTTCTTAAAAGCTGATTGTTGAAATGCCTCTTTTCCCCAGGCCCTGATGCTTTTTTGATATCCTTATTAAATTCCAAATTAAGAGACCAAGGCCAAAATCTAATCTGAGGTAAAAAGAAACACTTGAAGGTTCCAAGTAAGACCAGGTTGTTACCTTGTTAGAACTACAAAGTTCTTATGCAAAAATAAACAAGCATGATGTACGAGAAGCACAACAGGGAGCTGTTGAAGATTGAAGAGCAAATCATGGTTCTCCCTAGGTAATTCTACAAAACTTCCATTTGCCAAACCCAGCAGTGCCCTCAGAGCCAGCCTCTGCTTGCAAACATGGTTATGAATGCAGGCAGAGACTACTGTCTGTTGCTGACATTTTTGGCATGGTGCACTGGCACTCTAGCTGAATGTCATAGAAATTCACTTCAGAAAGTGGTCAAGAGCTAAGAACTGCAGAGTGTACCACTACTATGGCTACTCTTACACCTGCTTACCATCACCTGCAGAAGAAAAAGTACTTTTGATTCAGTACTCACTAGACTAGCCTATTCTTCCTTTGCAAATTACTAGGCCTCCACTCATTTACACCGGGTAATTTGTAGCCTTACGTTTAGTAGTGCAGCTTAACCATGAAAGACTTCTGAACCTTATCTGCCTTTGGGCTACCTATATTGACTAAACTTCAAAACTCCCAACACAGTGTTTGTTCAAGGATACATCCTACAAAACTGGGTATTCGTGCCATGGTCTTCCCCTCCAAAGCATAGTACCCTAATCACTGGTTGAATATTGCATGGACAGTGTGAAGATGTAAATACATGCAATTAATTGGAAAGAAGGGAAATTTTCTTCCTTAATCAACATCTTTCGACAAAAAGCAGTCAAGCCAGTTTGAACTTGGTAATGACCATCAACCAGTACAGCAAGAGTTGATAAGGTCTGGTCTGATTCCACTGACTAGAACCTGTGAGGCATGAGTTCCCTGTGTTCTAAAACATCATATCTGGCGACACAGACTGAGACCACTTCTGAGGGGGCAATTAATGGTCTTTGCGGATACAAGGGAACACAATGCAACTGCATATTCATTTAAAAACTGTGATGCTATTGAAAATCAAAGCAGTGGGAGTTGAAGCTAGAAAACAAGCTGTTATATCCTTTCATATGCAGAAAAAGTAGTTTTCCACTGAAAATTTCTACTGAAATAACACATTGGAAAAAATTCCATGATTCCTAATCTGAATTCACATTTCAGACTAACCTCCTCAATAGAAGAGTGAAGCATTTCCTTCATCCATAACTTGACTCCAACAACAAAAATTTTGTCTGGAACTGGTTTAGGACAAGTTTGTGAGCACATCTCACAAGCAGAATCATTAATCTCCTAGAGATAATAATGTCATAGTACTTAGACTGAGAAAAACTATTTTGTTGATGAATTTAAGTTTACATCTATGCTACTTACTGAAGAATGAGGTTTAGACAGTGATGCATTTGATAAAGATACAGTGAGACTACTCAGTGTAGTTGGTATTTTCTGTATATCTAAAGGCATTTTTTAAAATATTCAGAACAGCTAAGAGAGATAAGAGCTGGGTACATGTCTCCAGCTATCTAACTGAAAATCTCAGTCTTTAAATGCTTGTTTAGATTTTTGGGGTTTTGGTTTTGTTATTTTGGGGGGGTTGTTCAGTTTTTTTAATTCATTTTACTTATGTAGAATGTACCTGCTTGTACTTTTCTGTATCTGTGTACTTATCAATACTATCAATAGTAGTAAGGTGGTATCATCTTCACTGAAATGAAGTTCTTGTGTGCAAAGATGAGCAATATAAGAAAGCATCAAAGTCTCGCTGCCTAAATAAACAACTGGGGTAGCAAACTGATCCATGTGCAAAACTTTGACTCTACTATAATCAGTGGTAAAACTGCCAGTAACTTCAGAGACAGAAAATTTCATTTGTGGACTGCGTGATGCATCCATGGGCACAGTTGGTCTGTAGAAAAGTTCAGAAATGGAAGAGCTTAGCTCCCAGCCTTTAGGTGCAGTCCTTACTCTCCTTAAAATCAATTTCTGTTTAGGACCCTTTCTTCATCAGTCTGTACATGCATCTCCTGTCAGCTTTTGCTAGAGTTCTGGGTATGTCTCAAAGATAAACAGACTGCTTAATTATTAGTTGGTGATGCATGACAGAATTTTGAGGAGAGGACTGTAAATGTCACACAGATAGTAAATATGTTCATATTTTGAAGTTTGGACGTAGGCATCACTTGCCTTCACTGTAATGAAAATATGTACATATCTTTTTATTGCTAGCAAGCTTACTTTAATGAGATAATTATACAGATCTAAGTCCCTATGAGGGTTAAAGAAGTCTTCAAATAAACCTACACAGTTCCCTGCCCTTACTAGTTACAGTCTAAACATTCTAAGATTCGTCAGAACATTCTGCAGCTTTAACACAGGGTTTTGACAATGCCAGTCTCAGGGAATGATTTCTTTAGTAGCATCTGATATTTCTGAAATACATTCTGTATCTGTGAAAAAGCTCTATGGAACAGATGTTACAGTTTGTATACAACACAGTCTATTACTTTCCTAAGGTTTTGAAAAACGCCTGTGTATGAATTCATATGCATAAATGCATGAACCTTCAAAATGCCAAAAGCCTGTTTTTGAGAACTATCATCTTGTGTTTTTAACAAGTGTCTATACTATATTAAGTACAGAATCTCAGAATTAAAACTGGAATGATCATTTATTGTATAATTTAATAATTTACAGTTATTTAGTGATGGTTATAAAGCTTTTGACTGTTCAACTTTACAGTTTGTTAAATTTGTTAATTTACTGGTAGTGGATAAAAAAATTCAAAATCCAGAGGGGAAAAAAATAGCACAGCAGTACACAACTTCTCATTTTTATGAAACCAAGACACTCAAGCAGCAGACTACAGGCAGTAATAAAGTTTCCTTAGCTGCTAAGTAAACTGCTAGCAGACTAGTCCTTCAACTATGCCTAATTAGAATTAAGTATTATAAGGCATATGTATGCCATCGAACTAGAAGAAATTTTCTTCACATATGTAAAAATGTATCAGAATTTCAGCAAGTATATGAACAAATTGACAGCTAAAGTCTTGTTCAGCTCCACAGACAATAACTGAAACAGCCACTAGCGGTATATGCTGTGCTGATTTTCAAAAGTGTGTTCAGACACACGTTGGAACTTTTTATCTATAAAATAACCCAACTTTACAGAACTTCTTGAGGAAATAGACCAGAGAACCGCAAGGTTCCTCTAACTCTTTATAAGATAAAGAAATAGCCGAAGTTAACTGTTTGGTAATTCTGCTGCTGGGGAAGCGGAGTGGAGACGGCGATTTGGTTAACGAAGTTATCTGACGTGGCTCGACAGACCGTGCCGAAGATCCCACTGCCCAGGTCACCTCAGAAACAGCGTTGGGGGAAGAATGATCGGAGTGGTGGGGAATCAACTCTGCCTCGTCCTCCCGGCGCGATGAGCAGCCGAAGAGCTCCGCCTGGAGCGCCCCGCTGCCACCGCTGCCCCGCGGGGCCGGGGGGTTCTGTCGCGGGGAAGGGGACGGGGGAAGGGGACGCCAGCCCCACCGCAGCCCCCTCACCGCCCCGCACCACCCGTCCCGGCACAGCCCCTGACCGAGGCCGCCGCCCACCGCACCGCGCCCCGACCGGAGCCGTGGGGCGGGGGAAGGAAAAGTTTCCCGGGGGATGCGAGGGCCCCCCGCCCCCTGCGCCGGGCTGCCATTGGCCGAGCCGCCTGCCAGAGCCCGCAGCCACAAAAGGCGTTGCTAAGTGGATGTTTATTTTTTTCACCCCCTTTTTATTTTTTTCCCTCCCCCCCCTTTTTTTTTTGTGTCTCCCCCCCTCCCCCTTCACTACTTCTTCGGTTCACTCGCGCCGCTCCCGCCGCCGCCGCCGCTCCGCCCCGCTCCGCTCCCCGCGGGAGGCAGCGCGGGTCGAGCGCGGAGCCGTCCCGCTCCGGCCATGGCCTAAGCGGGAGGGCGGCCGGGGCAGAAGATGAGTTTCCAGGCGGAGGACGGCGTGGGCAGCCTCTGCCACAAGGCGCTGCAGATCATCTCGGAGCTGTGCCTGGGCGGGCAGGTGGAGCGGGAGAAGTGCGCTGGCATCTTCCCCCTGGAGACGGCCCGGCAGGGCATCGGTGGCACAGGTACCGATACACGGGACCCGCCGCCGGGCTCGTCCTGCCGCCGCCGCGGCGCGGACAGGGACGGCGTGGGCGGCCGGAGAGCGCAACTTTTTCCTTTGCTTTCCCTGCGTGCGGAGGGGGCGGAAGGGGGGCAGGCACACAGCCAGCTTTTAAATCCTCTCCCTCTCGCAGACCGCGGAGGCTCCCGAGAAGCAGCGAGGGAAGCGCCAGGACCGCTGGGGTGGGGGACAGCGCTCCGGGGGGAAACGCGGGGCAGCGGGCGAGGATGCGGGCGTGAGCGCAGGGAGCACCGAGAGATGCCGAGGGGAGAGAAATCGCCGCCGGCGTGCGAGCCTCGCCGCCGGTTGGAGCCTCGTCTTCGGAGACGGTCCCATACCCCCCGCAGCTCCCTCGTTTGCCCCCTCGCAGCTCCGCTCCGGCGAGGTTTTCCCCGCGGCGGGAGTTTCTCCTTAGGCAAAGCTCGGACCCGGGCTGCTGCGTGTATTTGCGGGGCCGTGCGCGCGGGGAGCGGAGCAGAGGGGCTGCCTCTGATGTTCTTGCCACGGGTGGGCAGTGGTTCCGTGCGACGGGCGCGCCACACGTGGGCTGAACCCTCTCGCCCTCTCCCTTCTCCCCGGCCGTCCTTCTGCGTTTGGTGGGTCGCGCTGGCGGCCCCGGCAACAGGTTGTGCGGCGGGGCGGCGGCGGGAGGACGGACAGCAGACACGGCTTGGGGCTCAGCCCGGGTTTGGGGCTCAGCCCGGGTTTGGGGCTCAGCCCGGACTCGGGGCTCAGCCCAGGCTCGGGGCGCAGCTCACCAGTCCGCGGCTCGCATTATCCCAATTCTGAGCGGGTTTGAGGTATTTTACACCCTCTCCGCTAATCGCCGAGGGCGGCAGGAGAGCTGTCTGGCGGTCGGTGGGAACCTGTGAAGTCAGGGCAGCACTCTGGTCCAGGACTCATCCAGAAAAATTTGGGGAGGGTGGAAGGAGGGAATTCGGATTTATTCAAGCATTCGGAAGCCAGGAAAATTGTCGGTATCGAAACCAAGATTTTGAATCCTAAAAGTGGTATCTTTGATCCCTGATTTCTGGATTTTCTGCATCTTTCGGAACTGGATCTGTGCTTTTACATTATCCTGTGCAGTACTCCCCGGACACCTTGCTTTCCTTGGCACTTTTTTAGGAGAGGGCTTGAAAATTAGTCGAAGTTCTTTGCTTGATTTCTGACGGTAGGGGTTGATAATCTCTTCTGTCTGCCCATAAATGCAAATGTACAACTTGCATTATGGCCAGCAAATGCCAAGTGTATAGTGTAAATTAAATAAATTAACACCAGGTCATGTAAAGCAGCAGGCTCTCAGCGTGTGCCCCAGCTGCGCTCTCTCTGTGGCCGCAGCTGATATTTTTATTTTTTTTCTTTTCTTCTCTTCTAATATCCACAGCTTTTACTGCAAAACTCAGGGTTATTTGTAATATCTCAGATCAAAAAACCTGTTTCTGATCCTGCCTGACCCAGCCCGGCCCGACCCAGTGGGTCTCGGTTCCCCGCGGGCGCCCCTTCCCCTGCCAATCCCGCCTCCGGGGCAGGGCAGGCAGGCACCGGGGGCGCGGGGGTCGCAGCCTACTCGTCCAGCACGGATCATTAACTTATTGTGCTTTATAAATGCCAAGTACTGAACATGTTCTGATCGATCATTCACTGTGTTAGCCGTCATCCTCCAAATAGTAAAAGGGTGAATGAAAATGACAGTACCCTATGGAGCCTGGAAACTTGGGCTCTGAAAAGAGTTGATCGGATTTTTAGAGAGTACTGCACAGAGAGTCAGTGTCATATATTAGGTGACATATAAAAACAAAGTTGTTGTATGAACAGGTGGGATATGAAGAATACAAAACATCCCATGAAGTAGACCAAGATCTGCTATTTAGAAAATATAAGTCTTCAACACTTGGTTTGATATTGCATTGTGTACAGTAACAGGAGCTTCTTTTTAAACATTTCTTGAAAGTCAAGGATCTTGTTGGTCTTTCATTTGTAAACCCTAACTACCTTGCAATTGTTGAATTAAGAAAAGAAATTATAATTAACAGACCAGGGGCTTGAACAACTGGTCCCATATCTCAGGTGAATTCCTGAATGTCACTTTTTTCTCCTTAAAAGGAAACTATCATTAGATGATGGGTGTCAGATTTATTGACATGCACATTATATTGAGCACTGTCTCATTAATAACACTGCTAATGAATGTATATTAATACTTTATGTCTCCAGAGGAGGAACAGACACACTGTCGTTGTTGATAATTGACAATATTTTAATATGTAAACACTTGGACAAGATATAAATATCACTTGCATCAGTTTTATGAACAGAAAAATTCTAAATACAGTTTAGGCTGAGAGAAATGTTGTCACTGAAAGGTGAGCCATGCTCTATTTCTTCTGCTCTTCAGATGCACATAGAGCTCCTTATCGTCTCTATGGATAAAGCTAATGTTGTCCAAAGTGTTGAGCATCCATAGTTCCTGTCCATTAAAGGTAGAAATGTCAAGTGTTCTTCATAATTGTTCTGAGAACATAAGTCATAAATATTTGTGTTTGTCTGAATCTGTGCCTCATACATAGGGTGGAAGCATTTGGTGTGAGAATCCATATCATGTAGCCATATCCTTCTTGCCTGAGTAAATTCTCCACAGGTCTGTTGTTATGCAGCTGTAACTGTATGGTAGAGAGCCTCGAGGAATGGCTAATTTAGCCCTATCAGTTTTGCTGTAAATCCCAAATGATACTGTGGAAAGCACTTTCCCAGTGTATGCCCACACTGGGTAACACGCATCACGGAACCTGTTCAGTTATCTACTCTCTGGGGCTCCAGCAATAGCAGTGTGTTGGGAATTAGCTCCTGCAACAAGGACTGAAGTGTGTGGAGAAAAAAGCACTGTAGTAAGAAGATAATTGAGTTGTAAGGAGGACTTGTGCAGGGCTAAGAGTTAGACGCGATGATTCTGGTGGGTCCCTTCCAACTCAGCATATTCTGTAATTCTGTGACTTTTGGAATATGTGAGGAAGAGAAGACTCTGAGATGGTTATTACAGAATAATGGCTTATTATTATATGTTGTTATGTTATAGAATCACAGCTAAACTTTCACCCTTCAATGGAAATCCAAAAAGCAAATAGCCACAGAGGCAGTGTAAAGAGGAGAGAAAATAAAAAATAACCAATAGCTATATTGGGATAGCATGTTCTCTCTTTAAATGATGGGTTCCTTCTGTTTTCCTTATCTCAAAAAGATACCTAAAAGTGTCACAAAGGTAGCACTACTAAGGTTTCGTTGAAAGAAAGAACTCTAAACTTCAGTAAGCCTGACAGAGTTCTAGAAGTGTTTGGACAATGCTCTCAGGAACATGGTGTGATTATTGGAAATGTTCTGCACAGGGACAGAAGTTGGACTTGATGATCCTTGTGGGTCCCTTCCAACTCAGAATATTCTGTGATTCTGTAAATGAGGACGAGACTCATATTTGGAAAGGAAAGAATAGTGCAAAGAACCTTTCAGAAAATAAAAGAGTAGATGGTGAAAAGGAGAGCAGACTATTTCTATTTAATAAAAGAATAAAAACATGTTCTGGAAGTTGAAAATATTTGAAAATGCAGCAAGAACTACATTGATATAGCTGTGTTAGTGAGTGTGGTGATTGCTTTCTGTTCAGCTAGACCATGAAAAGCAACCAGGTTTCTAAAAGGAATCAGCTACTTGAGGCAGAAGATGCACCATCCAGTCACAGGATCAAAGCAAAATATGAGACAGTGTTGACCTCATGACCCAAGAAGTTTCACAGGGAAGCAGAGAGGCTGGGCACTGATTTTTTTGATAGTGTAGGTGTCTAGATAGGAGAAAAAAGCATGACAAAGATAACAGAATCAAACACAAAGAAGAGGAAGCCAGTGACACAATAAAAAATGGTGAGTATGTCTCTGGGAAGACAGAGTGCAACAAAATGAAGCAACAAAGCAGAAAGGAGAGATATTCATGTTTGCTGTGAACCAGAGAAATAAGAGTTTGTACTTTCTTTGTGAGTAAACAGGATTACATGAAGAAAAGACTGATTATTCAATATGTTTTTTGCTCTCAGTGACAGCACCACCACGTTAGGACCCTCAATTACTGCTCACTGCTTGGGTCAGGAAGGGATAATCATATTTAGTGTGATGGATAATTAATCTACAAAACTCATAGCAAAGAATCTTAGTGAGATAAATAATTTTGTAAATTTCTAGGAACTTTAGACAATTAGTGAAGATAGACATCTGTTGTTACATTGTCTGCCCTGGTAATTACAAGAACTATTCATTCTCATCTCAGGGGAATGCTCAAGTGAAAAGATTAGGAAGCTGTTTATGTTTATGGAATCTTTATATTATTAGATTACTATGTGAGCTTTCTTCTCAATACAATTTTTGGCAAAATGCTCGATTACATGTGCAGCTGTTTTGTTTTTATTTTACACCTCCAGAACATTTGGGTAAAATGGTTAAGATGTCAGTTGTAAGAGTTTAGGTGGAAAATAAACAGGAGGTGGATGTGCAGGGTTGCACCTAACATAGTTTATATCTGAGCCCAGTAAATTATTTATTTCTATAAGTCTCCAAAATTCATATGTGCAATGTGGTTATGCCTGTATTTTAGCTCAGGATATCTGACTAATAAAGGACTCTAATTCATTTTTTCCGGTTAGGCATACCTCCTCATTTTCAATGGAACCCAGCATATTGAAAGTTCCAGTTGTGAGCATTTCTGAAGATTAAGCAAATTACATACAGCATAATGAGAGGAGTTTGGGCATTCTGCTCTAGGGACACATGTTTAAAATTCATTTTATGTCCTCTGCAAATGGTGGTTACTTTCTACTGTCTTTGCTTTTTTTTAGGCCTGCTGGTCATGCAAAACTTTACTATCTCATTATCAGTTCTCATGGGTGACCAATGTTTATTACAAAGCTGGGAACCCAGCTGCTTC